TAAGTCATTTTGCAGTAGCAGAAATAATCTTAAAAATATAGCCCAGCTCTACAGGTATTTATAGCTGCTGCCCTTTCCCCGGGCAGCGGGTAGCCGTCCCTCTGCGGGGGGGAATTGGATGCCGCCTGGCTGCGGGTGTCTCGGGTATCCACACAGGGTGATTTACACCCCAAGCTCTCTGCAGGGCTCCCGATGACTTTTCCGTGCAATCACAAAGTAGAATGGAGCACAGCATATTAAACAAGTAACAGTCCCCAGTGAAGAGCAGTGGAGAAGCCCGTGTTTTTGCTGGAGGGGCCGGTTGGGTGCTTCCATCGCACTGCTCGGGGCGCGGGGCTGCCGAGGGGCTGTGTGATGCCATGGACCACGCTGAGCTCCTCGAGATTGCAGGCAAGGCGGCTGCCGCTTCCAAAACAGCTCTGGGAGCAAAAGATACGTCTTAAATAAGGCTTAGAAAGTCAGTGCAGAACCGCCAGTATTGGGACACCAATACTGTTTGTACGGGGCATCCTCTGCTGCGAGAGCGAGGGAGCGCTGCGGGCAGCAGGCCTGTGCGTTAGCTGGGGAGGGCAGCCAGGCACGTTTTACTGCATGTAACCGTAGTGGACTTTGGCGGGTCTGCGCCACGGGAGCTGGACGGCCTCCAGGACGTGCTTACTGTGTGCCGGGGCTGGCAGAGCCCGGTCGTGCTGCGCAGAGTGCGGAGAGCCGCTTCAGCGTGCTGTCCCGGCCGCTGCTCGTGCGCTGTGCATGGGCATGGCTGTTATGATTTATCTTTCACTCGTTTAATGCCTGTAGCCAGGTGTCTCTGACAGGCGGCGCGGGGAGGGTTGTCCCTGGGTGCCGCCCGCCTGATCCAGGGTGCCAGCACCGCCTGCAAAGCTCGGAGTTAAGCTCTTGCTGGGGCCTGGAAGGTCTGACGTGCTGGCGAAGTGTCTGAGGATGGGTGGGTGCGGGCTGGTGGGTGCCCTCTCCCTGCGCACCAATGTGCTCCTGCTGGGACTAGAAACTGGGGCTGGCTGCAGCCAGCGGCTTTGGGAAGAGCCTCGGGGGTAAATCCCGCGTTACAACAGCATCTTCGTCCGTGCTGCCAGACCACCGTCCTGCCGGGTGTTCCTGGAGTAGCTGCTGTCAGGAGCAGTCCCCACAAATGCCAGAGGGAAGGCTGCAGATTTCCTAAAATCCGTTTTATAGAGTCACTGGGACATGTTCAGTTCCCAGGACAAGGTGGGAAAACCGTGGACTTTGCTGCTTCTCTCCCCCTGTGTTCTCACTGGTTGGGGAAGGCCTTAGCAGGCTGCTTCTTGTCTTTCCCAAGATGATACTTTACTTCTTTTTCTGGTGTTTTCCCACCAACCCTCCGGCAGTTTGACTGCTGTTATATATTTTAGCTGCATTAGCTTCTTTGCTGGTTTGGAATGGCAGAAAAAATGCTTTGACCTTGGCCCGTGTGCTGAGAACAGAGTCCAGGCACAAGTTTTTGTAACAGTAATTTCCTAGCGAAGGCTCCTGCCTCCTCCCCCCCGCCGAGCTGGCGCAGGCAGCAGCAGCGTCCGCGTATTTTTTGATGCGCCGTTGGGGAGGGTTTGGACGGGCTATCTCGGCAGCTCCTCTTCCCTCTTATAAAAGAGAGAAAAGGATAAAAGTAATTTGCGTGCAGGTCAGGTTAATTGCTTTCATCTGCGTGGCAATTAGGTGCATTAGGTAGAAAATGAAGTACCACATGCAAATATTGTTCAGATGATCAACATTTTTTCTTGGATCGTGTGTGCATGTGTGCGTTTGTGGGCATGCGTCGTCTTCTACCTGCGACAGAACGGATGGGTTTTGTATGCGTATTCTCTTCCTTTATAAATACCATCTCCATCCCTTGCCTCGGCGCCCGCAGCGATCTGCCTGCAGACACCGTCTGTGGAGGAGACGTGGGGAAACGGGCGCTTTGCACCACGCTGTCCGTGGGAAGCAGTGCCGGTCGCGGGTCCCCCCGGCTGGATGGGGCTCTGCGAGCCTCTGCGGGGGGACGTGCCGGGGGCTGGCACGAAGTCGGCACCTCTTCTTGTCACTGCTCAGGCCCAAAGTTGAGAACTAACCCTCCAGGTCACCCCTGGCCCTTCTCCCGCTGTCTGGGAGCTCTGGCTCTGTTCGGCAGGGCAGGCCTGGGTGGCACGTGTCCAGCCGGGGTCCGGAGCCCGAAGCCGCAGGTCCCGTGGGGACCGTGTGCCCTCCTCGGCTGGCTCTGGGCTTTGGCCCCGTGCGTGCTCACACGCTTCAGAACCTGTGAGGTCATCCCAATGAGCTCGGCCCGTTCGCATGCATTTAGCTTTCTGGTTTTCAGTTATTTGCTTTGTTTTGATGTGTCCCCTGTGGCTGGAGAGGAAAGTCTTTCCCTCATAATACAATGTTCCACTTGCAAAGAAATCCGTTACTTCCCCATCCGTTTCCAAGTCCCCAGGAACATCTTTAAATGGTTAGAAAAAAAAAATAGCAGCACAGGGATTCTTTTTCCCCTTTGTTGTTCACAGCACAGCCTGTGCCAAATGCCAGGTCCTTGGTTCCTGGCCGATTCGGAGGGCGGCTTCGAGGGGGAGCTGCGCGGGGCAGTGCCGGCGCGCCTGCGGGCTGGGGCATCCTCCGCCCGTAGCTGTGCCGAGGGGGGGACGAGGCTGGGCTGGGGCTGGCGGCTAAGAGGGGGCTGGGGGCAGCGGTTTTCCCTTTGTGCAGCTCACCCTCTGTTTTGCCACAGTGGTGCTTAAGCACTTGAATTACGGCCTGAGCTGGAACAGTTGCCCAAGTCCCCGCAGGGATAAGGTGGCAGCCTGAGGTTAGCGGGGCGGCGGGCCGGTCTCTCTGCACGCCTGTTTCAGTTAAAGGAGGGGGCTCCGTGTGTCCTGTGGGGATCCCCTGGGATCAGCGGTGATCCGTTTGCTCCTGGCCGCGTGGGCGGCAGGGCAGAGCCATGCCCTCGCGGCCGGCGGAGGGGATGGGGCTCTGCCTCCGTGCACCCTCCGGCTTTCCAAGAGCTAGGGTCAAGGTGGGCGCTCGGCCGCTTCGGTGACTTTGTCCCGAGATGACTATCTTGCTGTTGCTTGAAAGAGAATTATGAGAACACTCTCAAGGCTAAGAGGCCTAAAATTAGACGTGGCATCTGTGTTTTGGTTTGCAGGTGGGCTTACAAGAAAACGATTCCTGGCTGCTTTCCTTCTTCGTCTGCTTGGCAGAGTGAAGCAGCAGACAGGGTGCTGGCCTCGTACACGACTGCAAAAGCACTGGGCTCCCTCAGGACATCGCTGCCTGGCAGGGCCAGCGTGTCTGCAGATTTCAGCGCCCATCTGTGGTTATGGGGGTACCTCCCACGCACGCGGATCCCCTGGGATCAGCCGATTGCTGCTGCTGCAGTGTTCTGCCCTCTAGATTTCCCAAGAAATGCTTTCAGCATTTCAGCATTTCACCCACCCAAAATGATGGGTCTGGGTGTCCATGCCTTGTGTCGCTACAAGAACGTATTGGCATCAAGGCAGTGTTTCCCAGGGCTGGGATGCCCTGGGCTCGCCGCGAGTGTGCTGCCGGGGTTCGCACCAGCACAGCTCGCTGCTCATCCCCGCCAGCCCGGCCTCGCGGAGGTGCCACGGTACTGGCGCAGCCCGCAGGGGCGGGCCGGCGT